GCTAGCGTAGCTTAACTAAAGCATAACACTGAAGATGTTAAGATGGGCCCTAGAAAGCCTCGCAAGCACAAAGGCTTGGTCCTGACTTTGACATCAACTTTAGCCAAACTTACACATGCAAGTATCCGCGCCCCTGTGAGGATGCCCCACAGTTCCCCGCCCGGGAACAAGGAGCTGGTATCAGGCACATCTTTTTGAGCCCACGACGCCTTGCTTAGCCACACCCCCAAGGGAATTCAGCAGTGACAAACATTAAGCTATAAGTGAAAACTTGACTTAGTTAAAGCTAAGAGGGCCGGTAAAACTCGTGCCAGCCACCGCGGTTATACGAGAGGCCCAAGTTGATGAATTACGGCGTAAAGAGTGGTTAAGCTAAAATTAAAACTAAAGCCGAACACCCCCAAAGCTGTTATACGCATCCGGAGGTGAGAAGTTCAACCACGAAGGTGGCTTTATCTAACCTGAACCCACGAAAGCTACGGCACAAACTGGGATTAGATACCCCACTATGCCTAGCCCTAAACATTGATAGAATTTTACAACCACTATCCGCCCGGGGACTACAAGCATCAGCTTGAAACCCAAAGGACTTGGCGGTGCTTTAGATCCACCTAGAGGAGCCTGTTCTAGAACCGATAACCCCCGTTTAACCTCACCTCCCCTTGTTAATACCGCCTATATACCACCGTCGTCAGCTTACCCTGTGAGGGACCAATAGTAAGCTAAACTGGTATAACCCTAAACGTCAGGTCGAGGTGTAGCGTATGAGGAGGGAAGAAATGGGCTACATTCGCTACAAATAGCGAACACGAATGATGTCCTGAAACGTACATCTGAAGGAGGATTTAGCAGTAAGTAGAAAATAGAGTGTTCTACTGAAATTGGCCCTGAAGCGCGCACACATCGCCCGTCACTCTCCCCAAGCCTAACAACATAATTACTTAAAAACTAATAATTGCAAAGGGGAGGCAAGTCGTAACATAGTAAGTGTACCGGAAGGTGCACTTGGAAAAGCAGAGCGTAGCTAAGATAGCAAAGCATCTCCCTTACACTGAGAAGTCATCCGTGCAAATCGGATCGCCCTGATGCCTAACAGCTAGCCCGCCCAAACAACTTCAACGATTCAATCTTGATAACCCCAGAGGACACTAAACTTAAATTAACAAACCATTTTTCCCCCTTAGTATAGGCGATAGAAAAGGACATACGGCGCTATAGAGAAAGTACCGCAAGGGAACGCTGAAAGAGAAATGAAACAATCCAGACAAGCTAAGAGAAGCAGAGATTAAACCTCGTACCTTTTGCATCATGATTTAGCAAGTGTAACTTAAGCAAAGAGACCTATAGTTTAATGCCCCGAAACTACGTGAGCTACTCCAAGACAGCCTATTAATAGGGCACACCCGTCTCTGTTGCAAAAGAGTGGGGAGAGCTTTGAGTAGAGGTGACAGACCTACCGAACCTAGTTATAGCTGGTTGTCCAAGAAATGAATAGAAGTTCAGCCTCCCGGCTTCTCTTTTCACATTAGTTTAACACCTATTGATGTATTTAAGAAACCGTGAGAGTTAGTCAAAGGGGGTACAGCCCCTTTGAACAAAGACACAACTTTATCAGGAGGGTAAAGATCATAATAAAACAAAGGGAAGTACTCTGGTGGGCTTGAAAGCAGCCATCCTCTAAGAAAGCGTCAAAGCTCAAGTACCCTACTTTAATCCTCTTATCCTGATCACCAAGTCTTATCCCCCTATCTTTACTGGACCATCCCATGCCTTCATGGGAGTGATTATGCTAATATGAGTAATAAGGGAGCCAATGCCTCCCTCCCCGCACACGTGTACATCGGAACGGACAACCCGCCGACCTTTAACGAACCCAACCAAAGAGGGACCTGAGTAACAAACTAAATAACTAGAAAACTACCCAATATTTAACCGTTAACCCCACACAGGTGTGCCCCCGGGAAAGACTAAAAGAAAGAGAAGGAACTCGGCAAACACATAAAGCCTCGCCTGTTTACCAAAAACATCGCCTCTTGTATTTAACAAATAAGAGGTCCCGCCTGCCCTGTGACTATAAGTTTAACGGCCGCGGTATTTTGACCGTGCGAAGGTAGCGCAATCACTTGTCTTTTAAATGGAGACCTGTATGAATGGCATAACGAGGGCTTAGCTGTCTCCTTTTTCCAGTCAATGAAATTGATCTCCCCGTGCAGAAGCGGGGATTATTACATAAGACGAGAAGACCCTATGGAGCTTTAGACACTAAAGTGGATCATGTCAATGACCCTAAATAAAGGATTGAACAAGATGGAACCCACCCTGATGTCTTTGGTTGGGGCGACCGCGGGGAAATAAATAACCCCCATGTGGAATGGGAGCACCCCTCCTACAGCTGAGAGTTACAACTCTAATAAACAGAATTTCTGACCAAAAAGATCCGGCAATGCCGATCAACGGACCTAGTTACCCTAGGGATAACAGCGCAATCCTCTTTTAGAGCCCATATCGACAAGGGGGTTTACGACCTCGATGTTGGATCAGGACATCCTAATGGTGCAGCCGCTATTAAGGGTTCGTTTGTTCAACGATTAAAGTCCTACGTGATCTGAGTTCAGACCGGAGTAATCCAGGTCAGTTTCTATCTATGCTGTGCTCTTCTCTAGTACGAAAGGACCGAGAAGAGGAGGCCTATACCACTGGTACGCCTCTCCCTTACCTGTTGAATTTAACTAAAACAGACAAAAGGGCATACCCCCCTGCCGGAGATTACGGCATGTTAGGGTGGCAGAGCCCGGTTACTGCGAAAGGCCTAAGCCCTTTCAACAGAGGTTCAAATCCTCTCCTTAGCTATGATATCCACCATTATTACCCACATTATTAATCCACTAACCTTTATTGTTCCAGTATTACTAGCCGTTGCTTTTTTAACACTACTTGAACGAAAGGTGTTGGGGTATATACAACTTCGTAAAGGTCCCAACATCGTTGGCCCTTACGGCCTTCTTCAACCTATTGCTGACGGACTAAAGCTATTCATTAAAGAACCAATTCGACCTTCAACAGCCTCCCCCCTCCTGTTCCTTTTGGCTCCTATCCTGGCTTTAACCCTTGCCCTTGCCCTTTGAGCACCCATACCAATCCCCCACCCAGTAGTTGACCTTAACCTAGGTATCATATTTATTCTTGCCCTATCCAGCCTGGCAGTCTATTCTATTCTTGGCTCAGGCTGGGCCTCCAATTCTAAGTATGCCTTAATCGGAGCCTTACGAGCCGTAGCCCAAACCATCTCCTATGAAGTAAGCCTAGGCCTTATTTTATTAAACATCATTATCTTTACAGGAGGCTTTACCCTGCAAACTTTTAATGTGGCTCAGGAAAGCGTATGACTAATCATCCCCGCCTGGCCCCTTGCAGCTATATGGTACATTTCTACCCTAGCTGAAACCAACCGTGCCCCCTTTGATCTGACTGAAGGTGAATCCGAACTAGTCTCTGGCTTTAATGTGGAATATGCCGGAGGACCCTTTGCCCTTTTCTTCCTTGCAGAATATGCCAATATTCTTCTTATAAACACTTTATCCGCCACCCTCTTTTTAGGGGCCTACCACATTCCCTCTTTTCCAGAACTAACTGCTGTTAATCTTATAACTAAAGCGGCCTTATTATCAGTAGTATTTCTTTGAGTACGGGCCTCGTACCCTCGGTTCCGATATGATCAACTCATACACCTTATCTGAAAGAACTTTTTGCCGCTTACTCTTGCCCTAGTTATTTGACATCTTTCCCTCCCCATTGCCTTTGCTGGTCTTCCACCACAAGTGTAAACGGAGCTGTGCCTGAAGTAGAGGGCCACTTTGATAGAGTGAACCATGGGGGTTAAAGTCCCCCCGGCTCCTTAGAAAGAAGGGGTTCGAACCCTACCTCAAGAGATCAAAACTCTTAGTGCTTCCACTACACCACTTCCTAGTAGAGTCAGCTAATTAAGCTTTTGGGCCCATACCCCAAACATGTTGGTTAAATTCCCTCCTCTACTAATGAACCCCTTCATTTTAGCCACCCTTCTCTTCGGTTTAGGCCTAGGCACCACCATCACATTCGCAAGCTCCCATTGGCTTCTCGCATGAATAGGGCTAGAAATAAATACTCTTGCTATTATTCCACTTATAGCGCAACACCACCACCCTCGAGCAGTAGAAGCAACCACCAAATACTTCCTTACCCAAGCTACAGGAGCCGCTATACTTCTTTTTGCTAGTACAACCAATGCTTGAATAACAGGACAGTGAGAAATTCAACAAATAACCCACCCTCTTCCAATAACCCTAGTCACCTTAGCACTGGCCCTCAAAATCGGCCTTGCCCCACTACACTCTTGACTTCCAGAGGTTCTTCAAGGACTAGACTTAACCACAGGACTAATTATATCTACATGACAAAAACTAGCACCTTTCGCTTTACTTTTACACCTTAACCCCTCGAACTCCACCCTTCTCGTTGTACTAGGCCTCACCTCCACCCTTGTTGGGGGCTGAGGTGGCCTTAACCAAACACAACTGCGAAAAATCCTAGCCTACTCTTCCATTGCCCACCTTGGGTGAATAACTCTTGTAATACATTTTTCTCCTTCTCTCACCCTACTCACCCTTATCATGTATTTTATTATGACTTTCCCTGCCTTTCTTGTGTTTAAATTAAATAACTCAACTACCATTAATTCCCTTGCCACTTCTTGAGCTAAAGCACCCGCCTTAACTTCTCTCACCCCTTTTATCCTTCTTTCTCTTGGAGGTCTCCCACCCCTTGTAGGATTCATGCCTAAGTGACTTATCCTACAAGAACTGACTAAACAAGAGCTAGCAGCCGTTGCAACACTTGCAGCGTTCGCAGCCCTTTTAAGCCTTTACTTCTACCTGCGACTATCATATGCTATAGCCCTCACTATATCCCCCAATAGCACAACCGCAACAACCCCCTGACGTTACACTTCCTCTCAGGCTACCCTTCCCCTTGCAATTTCAACTACAGCAACACTTTTACTTCTACCATTGGCCCCAGCCGCAATTGCACTATTGACTATTTAGGGACTTAGGCTAAGTGAGACCAAGGGCCTTCAAAGCCCTAAGCGGGAGTTAAACTCTCCCAGACCCTGATAAGACTTGCGGGATATTACCCCACATCTCCTACATGCAAAGCAGGTACTTTAATTAAGCTAAAGCCTTTCTAGCTAGGCAGGCCTCGATCCTGCAAATTCTTAGTTAACAGCTAAGCGCTTAAACCAGCGAGCATCCAGCTACTTTCCCCGCCTTGTCAGGCGTAGAAGGCGGGGAAAGCCCCAGCAGGGTTTAGTCTGCCTCTTAAGATTTGCAATCTAACGTGGTTACACCATAGGGCCTGGTAAGAAGAGGATTCAAACCTCTGTGCATGGAGCTACAATCCACCGCTTAAAACTCAGCCATCCTACCTGTGGCCATCACACGATGATTCTTCTCAACTAATCACAAAGACATCGGCACCCTCTATCTAGTATTTGGTGCCTGAGCCGGAATAGTCGGAACAGCTTTAAGCCTTCTAATTCGAGCTGAATTAAGTCAACCCGGAGCTCTCCTTGGAGACGACCAAATTTATAACGTAATTGTTACAGCCCATGCTTTCGTAATAATCTTCTTTATAGTTATACCAATCATGATCGGAGGCTTTGGCAACTGACTTATCCCCCTAATGATCGGAGCCCCCGATATAGCATTTCCACGAATAAACAACATGAGCTTCTGATTGCTCCCACCCTCTTTCTTACTTCTCCTTGCCTCTTCAGGGGTTGAAGCTGGTGCAGGGACAGGGTGAACAGTTTATCCACCCCTCTCTGGGAACCTCGCCCATGCAGGTGCTTCAGTCGACCTAACAATCTTTTCACTTCATCTTGCAGGTATTTCGTCAATTCTGGGGGCAATCAACTTCATTACCACAATTATTAACATGAAACCTCCCGCTATTTCTCAGTACCAAACGCCCCTTTTCGTCTGATCTGTTCTCATCACTGCAGTCCTTCTTCTCCTATCCCTGCCCGTCCTTGCAGCCGGAATCACTATGCTTTTAACAGACCGAAACTTAAACACCACTTTCTTCGACCCAGCAGGGGGTGGAGACCCAATTCTTTACCAACACTTATTTTGATTCTTTGGCCACCCTGAAGTTTATATTCTCATTCTTCCAGGCTTCGGAATAATCTCCCACATTGTTGCATACTACTCTGGAAAAAAGGAACCTTTTGGCTACATGGGTATAGTATGAGCAATGATGGCCATTGGCCTTCTAGGGTTTATTGTCTGAGCACATCACATGTTTACAGTAGGAATGGACGTGGACACACGAGCCTATTTCACCTCCGCCACCATAATTATTGCTATCCCAACAGGTGTTAAGGTTTTTAGCTGACTAGCTACACTTCATGGAGGCTCAATCAAATGGGAGACACCCCTTCTATGAGCACTTGGCTTCATTTTCCTATTTACTGTCGGGGGTCTAACAGGCATTGTTCTTGCCAATTCTTCCCTTGATATTGTCCTTCATGATACTTACTACGTTGTTGCCCACTTCCATTATGTACTTTCCATGGGAGCCGTATTTGCTATTATTGCAGGCTTTGTACATTGATTCCCTCTGTTTTCAGGTTATACCCTTCACAGCACCTGAACGAAAGTTCATTTCGGTGTTATGTTTGCAGGTGTAAACCTAACTTTCTTCCCTCAACATTTCCTAGGTTTAGCCGGAATACCTCGGCGATACTCTGATTACCCAGATGCCTACACACTCTGAAACACAGTTTCTTCAATTGGTTCCCTTGTGTCCTTAGTTGCAGTAATTATGTTCCTGTTCATTATCTGAGAAGCATTTGCTGCTAAACGTGAAGTTTTAGCAGTTGAAATAACAACAACAAACGTCGAGTGACTTCACGGCTGCCCTCCTCCCTACCACACTTTCGAAGAGCCTGCATTTGTTCAAGTTCAATCAAACTAACGAGAAAGGGAGGAGTTGAACCCCCGTGTGCTGGTTTCAAGCCAACCACATAACCGCTCTGTCACTTTCTTCATAAGACACTAGTAAAACAGCATATTACACCGCCTTGTCAAGGCGGAATCGTGGGTTAAACCCCCGCGTGTCTTGCCCTCCCCCAATGGCCAATCCCTCACAACTAGGATTTCAGGACGCAGCTTCACCTGTTATAGAAGAACTTCTCCACTTCCACGACCACACCCTAATGATTGTATTCTTAATCAGCACTTTGGTCCTATATATTATTGTGGCTATAGTCTCAACCAAGCTTACTAATAAATACATCTTAGACTCCCAAGAAATCGAAATTATCTGAACCATTCTTCCAGCAATCATCCTAATTTTAATTGCTCTACCATCCCTTCGAATCCTGTACCTAATAGACGAAGTGAATAATCCTCTTCTTACAATCAAAGCTGTTGGTCACCAATGATACTGAAGCTACGAATATACAGACTATGAAGACCTTGGCTTTGATGCTTACATAATTCCAACACAAGACTTAGCCCCAGGTCAATTCCGCCTTATAGAAACAGACCATCGAATGGTAATTCCTGCAGAATCCCCCATCCGCGTACTAGTGTCTGCTGACGATGTCCTTCACTCATGAGCAGTCCCATCGCTTGGAATCAAAATAGACGCTGTCCCAGGACGTCTAAACCAAACAGCCTTCATTGCATCACGCCCTGGAATTTTTTATGGTCAATGCTCAGAAATCTGCGGAGCAAACCACAGCTTTATGCCCATTGTAGTTGAAGCAGTCCCTATAACCTACTTCGAGGACTGATCCTCCCGAATGCTTGAAGACGCCTCGCTAAGAAGCTAAATAGGGCCTAGCGTTAGCCTTTTAAGCTAAAGACTGGTGACTCCCGACCACCCCTAGCGATATGCCTCAACTAGACCCATCACCTTGGTTTGCCATATTAATCTTCTCTTGATTAGTCTTTCTAGTCGTTATCCCACCCAAAGTAATAGCTCATACTTTCTCGAATGAGCCCGCTATACAAAGCGCTGAAAAACGTTTTACAGACCCCTGAACTTGACCATGACCTTAAGCTTTTTTGATCAGTTTATAAGCCCCGTTTTTATAGGAATTCCCTTAGCAGCCATCGCTATTGCCCTCCCCTGAGTCCTTCTTCCCACCCCTACTGCCCGATGAACAAGCAACCGATTTCTAGGTCTCCAGGGTTGATTTATTAATCGTTTCACACAACAGCTTCTCCTCCCAGTAAACCTTGGAGGACATAAATGAGCAGCTTTATTAACCTCTTTAATAATTTTTCTAATCACATTAAATATACTTGGCCTTCTTCCCTACACTTTCACCCCCACAACCCAACTCTCAATTAATTTAGGCCTTGCAACTCCCCTTTGACTAGCAACTGTAATTATCGGGATGCGAAATCAACCAACCCATGCCTTAGGTCACCTTCTCCCAGAAGGGACCCCTGGCCCTCTAATTCCAGTGCTAATCATTATCGAAACAATTAGTCTGTTTATTCGTCCCTTAGCCCTGGGCGTCCGACTGACGGCTAATCTAACAGCAGGACACCTACTTATTCAGTTAATTGCCACAGCAAGCTTCGTACTTCTATCTCTTATGCCCGCTGTAGCTGTTACTGTTACCGTAGTACTATTTTTACTCACCCTTCTTGAAGTCGCCGTAGCTATAATTCAAGCCTACGTATTTGTTCTTCTATTGACCCTTTACTTACAAGAAAACGTTTAATGACCCATCAAGCACACCCCTACCACATAGTTGACCCTAGCCCTTGACCTTTGACAGGCGCAATCGCCGCTTTACTAATGACATCAGGTTTAGCAACCTGATTCCACTTCCAATCCACAACCTTAATAAGCCTAGGAATAGCCCTTCTTCTCCTAACGATATATCAGTGATGACGAGATATTGTACGGGAAGGTACCTTTCAAGGACACCACACACCCCCAGTACAAAAAGGCCTTCGTTACGGCATAATTCTATTCATTACTTCTGAAGTTTTCTTTTTCCTAGGTTTTTTCTGAGCTTTTTACCACGCTAGTCTTGCCCCTACACCAGAGCTCGGAGGTTGCTGACCTCCAACTGGTATTACTACCCTAGACCCCTTTGAAGTCCCTCTTCTAAATACTGCGGTTCTTCTTGCATCCGGGGTTACAGTCACATGAGCCCACCATAGCATTATAGAAGGGGAACGTAAACAAGCCATTCAATCCCTTGCCTTAACTATTCTTCTTGGGTTTTACTTCACCTTTCTTCAAGGTATAGAGTACTATGAAGCCCCATTTACAATTGCAGACGGGGTTTATGGCTCTTCCTTCTTTGTTGCCACAGGTTTTCATGGTTTACATGTCATTATTGGCTCTTCATTTTTAGCTGTTTGTTTCCTACGTCAAATTCGTCATCACTTCACAGCTGAGCACCACTTCGGATTCGAGGCGGCTGCTTGATACTGACATTTCGTAGACGTTGTGTGACTTTTCCTATATATCTCTATCTACTGATGAGGATCTTAATCTTTCTAGTACAGCTTAGTATAAGTGACTTCCAATCACCCGGTCTTGGTTAAAATCCAAGGAAAGATAATGAACTTAGTAACAACTGTGGTCTCAATTACAGCCGCACTTTCTGTCGTATTAGCCCTGGTATCCTTCTGACTACCGCAAATGACCCCTGACCATGAAAAACTCTCCCCTTATGAATGTGGCTTTGACCCTCTAGGCTCCGCCCGTCTTCCTTTCTCCCTACGATTCTTCCTAGTAGCTATCCTTTTCCTCCTCTTTGACCTAGAGATTGCCCTTCTCCTTCCATTACCATGAGGGGACCAATTAGCCTCCCCCCTTTTTACATTTTTGTGAGCAACAGCAGTTCTTACCCTCCTAACATTAGGCCTCATCTACGAGTGAATGCAAGGAGGCCTAGAATGAGCTGAATAGGAAGTTAGTTTAAGAAAAACCTTTGATTTCGGCTCAAAAACTTGTGGTTAAAGTCCACAACTGCCTAATGACTCCTGTTCACTTTGCTTTCTCTTCGGCTTTTATATTGGGCCTTACTGGCCTGGCCTTTCATCGAACCCACCTGCTATCCGCCCTCCTCTGCCTTGAAGGAATAATACTATCTTTATTTATTGCCCTGTCTCTCTGAACCCTACAATTAGACTCGACAAACTTCTCCGGGGCCCCCATGCTTCTTCTGGCCTTCTCAGCTTGTGAAGCAAGCGCAGGTCTTGCCCTTCTAGTCGCTGCTGCACGAACACACGGGACAGACCACCTCCAAAACCTGAACCTGCTACAATGCTAAAAATTCTAATTCCAACCCTTATGCTAATCCCAACAACATGGTTAACAAAACCAAAGTGACTCTGACCTTCAACACTAGCCCACAGCCTTCTCATCGCCGTGTTTAGCTTAACATGATTTGCTAACATGAGTGAGACGGGATGAACTAGCCTTAGCTATTACCTGGCCACCGACTCCCTGTCGACCCCACTTCTTGTTCTCACTTGCTGACTACTTCCACTCATAATTATTGCTAGTCAAAACCATACAGCTACTGAGCCCTGCAACCGCCAACGAGTTTATATTACCCTGCTAACATCTCTCCAAATTTTCCTTATCCTAGCATTTGGTGCTACTGAGATCATCATGTTCTACGTCATGTTCGAAGCCACTTTAATCCCCACCCTTGTAATTATCACACGATGGGGGAACCAAACAGAACGTCTAAACGCAGGTGTATATTTTCTATTTTATACCCTCGCAGGCTCCTTACCCCTTCTCGTTGCCCTCCTTCTACTTCAAAACAGCGCAGGAACGCTCTCCTTATTAACCATCCAATACTCAGACCCCTTCCATCTTTCTACTTTCGCGGATAAACTATGGTGAGCAAGTTGCCTTCTCGCATTCCTTGTAAAAATGCCATTGTACGGAGTACATCTTTGGCTCCCAAAAGCACATGTAGAGGCCCCCGTTGCTGGTTCTATGATTCTGGCTGCCGTACTTCTAAAACTTGGGGGTTACGGAATAATTCGCATAATTCCCATCCTTGACCCTTTAACCAAAGAATTAGGTTACCCCTTTATCATCTTTGCCCTCTGGGGAGTGGTAATAACTGGGTCTATTTGCCTCCGGCAAACAGACCTGAAATCACTAATCGCCTACTCTTCAGTCAGTCACATAGGTCTAGTCGTAGCAGCTATTCTTATCCAGACCCCCTGAAGCTTGTCCGGTGCTTTAATTCTTATAATTGCCCACGGACTTGCATCCTCCGCTCTCTTTTGCCTAGCTAATACAAATTATGAACGGACACACAGCCGTACATTATTACTAGGTCGAGGACTACAAATAGCCCTCCCTCTAATAACAACATGATGGTTCATTGCAAGCCTTGCAAACCTTGGATTACCCCCACTTCCGAATCTCATGGGAGAATTAATAATTATTACTTCACTATTTAGCTGGTCCTGGTGAACTCTCGCCCTGACTGGCGCAGGCACTTTAATTACTGTCAGCTACTCTCTTTATATGTTCATTATAACTCAACGGGGACCTCTTCCCGCACATATAATTGCTTTAGACCCCTCCCACACTCGGGAACACTTAATTATAGCCCTTCACCTTATCCCCCTCCTTCTGCTTGTGCTTAAGCCCGAATTGGTCTGAGGCTGAGCCGCATGTAGGTATAGTTTAGTAAAATATTAGATTGTGATTCTAAAGACAGGGGTTAGTCTCCCCTTACCCACCGAGAGAGGCTCGCTAGCAACGAAGACTGCTAATCTCCGCGACTTTGGTTGAACCCCAGAGCTCACTCGATCAACTTCTGTAGGACAACAGCTCATCCATTGGACTTAGGATTCAAAAACTCTTGGTGCAAATCCAAGCAGGAGTAAAAATGTGACAAACCCCCTCTGTTCTCTACTCCGGCATAATCATTATCCTTGTGGTCTTATCTTTCGCCTTACTCTCAGCTTTAGTTCAAGGCAATTCGGTTTTTAACCAAACCGTCCCTAACATTACATCAGCAGTAAAACTCTCTTTCTTCATCAGTCTCCTCCCATTATTTATGTTCTTCAATGAAGGGGCAGAAACAATCGTCTCATCCTGAACCTGAATAAACACAACATGTTTTGAAATTAGCCTAAGCTTTAAGTTTGACCAGTATTCTGTTATCTTTACAACTGTTGCTTTATACGTTACATGGTCCATCCTTGAATTTGCCTCATGGTACATACACTCAGACCCTAACATCAGCCGATTTTTCAAATACCTACTAATTTTCCTTATGGCTATACTTACCCTTGTTACAGCCAACAACATGTTTCAACTATTCATTGGTTGAGAAGGGGTGGGCATTATATCATTTCTCCTAATTGGCTGATGAGGTGGGCGAGCAGATGCTAACACCGCCGCTCTTCAAGCCGTAGTATACAACCGAATCGGGGACATTGGCCTCATCTTTGCCATGGCTTGAATAGCAACAAAATTAAACTCTTGAGAAATTCAACAAATCTTTGTTGCCTCTAAAGACTTTGACCTCACTTTCCCCCTTCTCGGCCTGATTGTTGCTGCCGCTGGTAAGTCCGCCCAATTTGGACTTCACCCCTGGCTGCCTTCGGCCATAGAAGGTCCTACACCAGTATCTGCCCTACTACACTCTAGCACTATAGTCGTCGCAGGCATCTTCCTTTTAGTCCGACTCAGCCCGCTACTTGAGGGTAACCAAACTGCCTTAACCATCTGCTTATGTTTAGGAGCCCTCACCACACTCTTCACAGCTACATGTGCCCTCACCCAAAACGACATTAAGAAAATTGTTGCCTTCTCCACATCTAGTCAACTTGGACTCATAATAGTTGCCATCGGACTAAACCAACCACACCTAGCCTTCCTCCATATCTGTACACATGCTTTCTTTAAAGCAATGCTTTTCCTCTGCTCTGGCTCCGTGATCCATAGCCTCAATGATGAACAAGACATCCGTAAAATAGGAGGCATACATTTTCTCACCCCTTTTACCTCATCATGCCTAACAATTGGAAGCCTTGCCCTAGCAGGTACTCCTTTCCTTGCCGGGTTTTTTTCTAAAGACGCTATTCTTGAGGCTCTTAACACATCCCACTTAAACGCCTGGGCCCTGATCCTAACCCTTCTTGCCACTTCTTTTACAGCCATCTATAGCCTCCGAGTAATCTTCTTTGTATCCATGGGCTACCCCCGATTTAATCCACTTTCCCCTATCAACGAAAACAACCCAGCAGTAATTAACCCTATCAAACGACTAGCATGAGGCAGCATTATTGCCGGCTTTTTAATTACCTCAACTATTATCCCCTTAAAAACCCCTATTATTACTATACCCCCTCTCCTTAAACTTACTGCTCTCATCGTTTCCGTCCTAGGCCTGCTTATTGCTCTAGAACTAGCCTCACTTACTGCTAAACAGTACCACCCCACCCCTCGCTTAACCCCACATCACTTTTCTAACATACTTGGCTTCTTCCCTTCAATTATCCACCGCCTAACCCCCAAATTTGGTCTTACCTTGGGTCAAGCAGTTGCCAGCCAAATACTTGATCAAACTTGAATCGAAAAAATCGGACCTAAAGCCATTGTATATCATACAACCCCTCTCATTACCACTACCAGCAATACTCAACGAGGACTAGTAAAAACTTACTTAGCACTATTCCTTTTAACCCTGGCATTAGCAATGCTTTTGGCCTCTTTTTAAACCGCCCGGACTGAGCCACGGCTAAGGCCTCGGGTTAACTCCAACACAACAAATAAAGTAAGGAGGAGGGCCCATGCACTAAGAACAAGTATTCCTCCCCCCAAAGAATACATCATAGCAACCCCACCAATGTCACCCCGAAATATAGTAAATCCATCAAGCTCATCAGCCGGGACCCATGACACCTCATACCAACCTTCCCAGAACATATTTGATACTAACCCGACCCCCAACCCATATAAGATTATGTACACCCCCACCTGTCGACTTCCTCACCCCTCAGGAAAGGGCTCGGCAGCCAAAGCTGCTGAATATGCAAAAACAACTAATATTCCTCCTAAATAGATAAGAAACAAGACCAGGGATAAAAATGGACCCCCATGACTTACTAGCACGCCACAACCCATACCTGCTACCATCACCAACCCTAGAGCAGCAAAATAAGGAGAAGGGTTAGAAGAAACAGCTACTAGTCCTAAAACCAACCCTAACAGAAATAAAGATATAACATAGGTCATAATTCCTACCAGGACTTTAACCAGGACTAACGACTTGAAAAACCATCGTTGTAAATTCAACTACAGGAACATATAATGGCAAGCCTACGAAAAACGCACCCCCTACTAAAAATCGCTAACAATGCACTAGTCGACCTCCCCGCCCCCTCAAATATTTCAGTATGATGAAACTTTGGTTCCCTCCTTGGACTTTGCTTAATTATCCAAATTCTCACTGGGCTTTTCCTTGCAATACACTACACTTCCGATATTGCTACAGCTTTTTCCTCCGTCGGACATATCTGCCGAGATGTAAATTACGGTTGACTAATTCGAAACCTCCATGCCAATGGCGCATCCTTTTTCTTCATCTGTATCTATATGCATATCGGCCGAGGACTTTACTATGGCTCTTACCTATACAAAGAAACCTGAAACATTGGAGTGATTCTTCTACTTTTAGTCATAATAACAGCCTTCGTTGGTTATGTCCTTCCATGAGGACAAATATCTTTCTGAGGAGCTACGGTTATTACCAACCTACTTTCAGCCGTCCCATACGTTGGCAACTCATTAGTTCAATGAATTTGAGGGGGCTTTTCCGTTGACAACGCCACCTTAACACGTTTCTTTGCCTTTCACTTCTTATTCCCATTTGTCATTGCTGGTGCCACACTTGTTCACCTTCTTTTCCTTCACCAGACAGGCTCTAATAACCCTCTTGGCCTGAACTCAGACGCTGACAAAATCTCCTTTCACCCCTACTTTTCTTATAAAGACCTCCTTGGCTTCGCAGCCCTACTAATTGCCCTTACATCCCTAGCACTATTTGCTCCTAACCTGCTTGGAGATCCCGATAACTTCACCCCTGCAAACCCATTAGTCACTCCACCTCACATCAAGCCTGAATGGTACTTCTTGTTTGCCTACGCCATTCTTCGATCTATCCCAAATAAACTTGGAGGCGTCCTTGCACTCCTTGCCTCCATCCTAGTCTTGATAGTAGTCCCCATCCTTCATACATCTAAACAACGTGGCCTTACATTTCGACCCCTTACGCAATTTTTATTTTGAACTCTTATTGCAGATGTAGCTATTCTTACCTGAATTGGCGGTATACCCGTTGAACACCCCTTCATCATTATTGGACAAGTTGCATCCGTACTTTACTTCTCTTTATTCCTAGTTTTATACCCAGGAGCAGCAGTAATAGAGAACAAAATGCTTGAATGAACATGCAAAAGTAGCTCAGCGCCAGAGCGCCGGTCTTGTAAGCCGGATGCCGGAGGTTAAATTCCTCCCTTCTGCTCAGAGAAAGGAGATTTTAACTCCCACCCCTGACTCCCAAAGCCAGGATTCTAAGCTAAACTATTCTCTGCACATACTTATTTGGCGCCTTTTTGGCGCCTCGCCTTTTTGTCGCCTTTTTGTCGCCTTTTTGCCCTACTCTTTGTCCTATAATGCATGTATGTATAATAAGCATACATTTATATTAACCAATTCATGGACATTCAAGTACACATATGTTGAATTGACACTTATAGAAATAACACCCTCATATACCAACATAATTCGAAGTATACATAAAGCAATTAAATAAGATATAATAATGAATATTTAAAGACAGGCGAAACTTAAGACCTAACTAATTATTCATAAGTTAAGTTATACGTTTACTCCAAATCCCGTCAATCGAAGATTCTGGATGTAGTAAGAGCCTACCATCAGTTGATTTCTTAATGCCAACGGTTATTGAAGGTGAGGGACAAGTATTCGTGGGGGTTTCACAGGGTGAATTATTCCTGGCATTTGGTTCCTACTTCAGGGCCATGACTTGATATTATTCCCTCCACTTTTATCGACGCTTACATAAGTTAATGGTGAAGTACTACTCCGAGAACCGACCATGCCGAGCGTTCTTTCTAATGGGCTACGGGTTTTTTTTTTTTATTTCCTTTCAACTGGCATTTCAGAGTGCACACGGGTTTAGCTGACAAGGGTGATCATTTATCGCGTCAAGCAGGTAATAAGGTGAGTGTTGTAAAGATATTCTATAATACATGCATAAGGTATCTCAAGAGCATAATAAGAGATTTTTCAACAGGAAGATATCCTTTACGACCCTGGGTTTCTTCGCGTAAAACCCCCCTACCCCCTAAAACTCCTAGAATGTCTAAGATTCCTGAAAACCCCCCGGAAACAGGAAAACCCCTAGTAGCTTGTTTTCTTCCCAAAATGCGCTTATATACACTATTGCAATAATGCACAT